AATTGATCGGATCGTATTGACGAAGGGATAATAGTTTCACGATAAACGAACGAATTTGGTTTTGTCATACCACGTGACATTTCTCGTCACATGTATTGCCCTGACACATTGCTAGATGTCAATCAGGGACGGCAAGTGTGAATTGACGATAAATTAAAAGGGTGTATTAATTTACCAATTTTGATTAGATCAAAATAATATTTCACGACGTTAGGCATCGTGGTCGGGAACCTAATGGGTCGCACACAAAAGAGAATTGGAAGATTACAAATTGCCAATTGGTTAATTTAACAATCGTTGGATAAATTAATTAATTGAATTTGTTATTTATATTCTCGAATTAATTAATTGGATTAATTAATTAATTAACGGATCGGGTTTAATTAATTGGATTAATTAAATATTGGACCGGACCGGACCGGGTCCGTTTGGGTTTATATATATACATAGCTAGGGTTTGAGGTTCATAAGGTTTTCATTATTCTTGTGTGGATTTCATTGGACGCTGGACAATTGGACAGCTGTGGGAGGCAGATTCAAGCTGCTGGAAAGGAATAACGCGAAGGAGTTTGCAAATTACAAGAAAATGTATATTTCTTATCACAGTTTTTATCTAAATACAAAATTGAATCCTGAATGGAAATTGAAATTTGTTAAATTTCGTTGTGCATGTTTAAGTAAATTCCCAACAGTGGGCATGTCCTCATCTTATATGAAAGATTTCTTATGTATAAAAACAAGGTTGGAGTACTCCCTTGGAATTGAGAGGAATTCTGGTTAAGTCTAAAAGATGCAAGAAATATGCAAGAGCAATCAAATATGTTTGAAAACCTTCTTAATTTTAAAGTCGCTTTTTATATTCAAAATTAACTAGTTGAGAGTGGATCTGGACAGTTCATTTCTATCAATGGCTGGGATCTAAACAAATTGTCATATGGAGTGATTGGGGTCTATGTCTGGCATTCGTTCTGGGCTTCAGTATTTAATGTGTCCGACCCTCTCTCTCTTTCGATAATCTGTCCCAAATCTTTAGTGAGATCCTTTCGTGATTGTAACCCTGTGAAAAAAATACTTGTTATAGTGTTTAGGCCACTTCATTTGGCCGGTAAATCTATACCGAGGTTGGAGGTTTATTTATTTATTTATTTTTGGTTTGTGTATATATTAGTGTGGTGATTTCTCAGATATTACAAGATCTATGACCAAGTCGTGATCTAATTTAGGTTGTTTGAACATTATACTCTCTCATGGTCGTTTTCTTGCCCTAGTGACGGGCTTTACCTCCGAGTCCTCCAAATTAGATTTGGTCGAATTGGATGAATAATTTCATTGTGTTATTTACTGCTTTTGATTGTGTGATTGGTTCAGTTTTTTATTAGTTTGCTATCTTGGATCTAAATACCTAACAAAAGAGCAATTTGAGCATAATAAATAGCATTTTTAAATTTAAAGAGTAAAATTTTTTTTATACCCCAACAAACTCTTTATATTTCGCTATTTATTTGACCTTTTTCAATAATAATTCATTATTTTTTCGTCATTTTCAATTAATATATACAATATGACCAATGTAAGTAAGCGAGCATTGAAACTTACAATTTTATTAAATGCTATTATGATGATACAAATAAGAGGTGGATTCCATTTTTCAAATATGCAGAGCTAAAATCCTCCTCTACATATAAAGTTAAAAACAAATAGTCTAATTTTCAATGTTTTAAAAATTCGACCAAATATTGATCTAAAAAAAAAAAGAAAGAAAGAAAGAGGTTAGAAGGTCGAACCATATTGAACATAAAAAATATAATTATTTTTAAAAAAAATCAAGTATTAATATATATTCTCTTACAATTTTATATCAAGTAAAAGAGTATTTTTAATATTTAACTTTTAATAATTATTTTAATACCTATTTCACATGAAATTAACATTAAATGGGCTGATATACAACTAAATATAAAATAAAGGAAAAAAAAAACCATAAGTTAGGTATTAAGTATACACCAAAGCACCAAATCAATTTTCAAACATTAAGGTTAAAAATGCAAAAATCAAGTGTTAATTCTATTTTAAATTTAAATAATAATATTATCAAATTAAATTAAGCTACCCACACCGCCTATGCCCACCCTCAGGCACCAGTCGCGGGTATCCACCCAACGACTTCTTCTACGGCGAACATGAGCATCGTCAACTCAGATAATAGAGATAGAGAGAGAAACTGATGCAAGAGGATCCGAGTCGAGTGACGTTGATCTGTCAGATAGTTCGTTGATGGTGCTGAGATACCATGAGATGGTGGATAGGCGCAAAGATGGAAAATAAATGCAATCTTTCCGTAATTGAGGTAATTTTGACACGTTTTTTGTAATTTGGTTATAACTTTGGCAACGGTTATCAGAATCGCTATTATGACCCAAATCCGGAAAGCTCTCTTCAGCCTGTACGTCGTGGCCACCCAGCTATGCTCAGTGGGCGTCAATTTCGAGCCCAAAATTCACTGTTTTCCTTTTCGAAATTTAATTTTTAGTTATTTTTTACTATTTATGATAATATTTCGTTTCCCTTTTTCTAGACGTTAGAGAATCCGGATTGAGCCAAATTTTTGGCAACTTACTTCTTTTGTTTTATATTTTATTTTGGTGTTATTGTTAGAATTTTGCTATTTTTGCTATTTTTCGATAATTCCGTATTTTGCAACTATTTAACCCGGCTTGTGGGTTAATTTTCGTCATTCTTGATTATTAATAATATTGAGTGAAGATTTTAGAGAATTCTATCTGTTTTGGCATTTCTTTCTTCTTCTTTCTTGCGAATCGTCTGTTGCAACTAGCCTATAGGATAATCGCTATCCTACCCAGCGTCAGTTGGTATCAGAGCGTTAGGATTTTCCTGCGATGAAATTTCCATCAGTTACAATGGTTGGTGGATGTGGTCGTGGTCGTCGAGGGTAGGTTTCGATTGAGGAAGTCTCACACCGTGATCGCAATGTTCAGGATGTGATGATTGAAGATTTGCAGAGACAAGTCGTAAAGTTAACCCAACGTTTGGCGGAACAGGAGTTCAGTAATCATGATGTAGAGGGTCATGATTTCGATACTAATTTTGAAAACCCGTATCACAATCATGCTCAAGTCTGGGAACATCGTGGACGGGAGGATCGCCATGTAGACCTCGATTTCAGAGTGGATCTGTCGAAGTTTGCTGGTACGTTACAGGCTGAAGGTTTTATTGATTGGTTGATTGAAGTGGAGCGAATTTCTGAGTATAAAGAGGTTCTAGATCGTGTCAAGGTAAAATTGGTCACCATCAAACTTAAGAGAAGAGCTTCAGCATGGTGGGAACAATTGAGGCGTTCGTGAGAACGGCAAGGCACGTCTAAGATCGCTGATTGGGAGAAGATGAAGAAAAAGATGAAAGTGCACTTTCTTCCTTTTGGCTATACTCAGTCTTTATTTCAGCGGCTCCATTCACTGAGGCAAGGTACGAGATCTGTTGATGATTATACGAAGGAGTTCTATCAATTGGTAGCTCAGAACGATTTATCTGAAACAGAAGAACGGATGGTTGCACGGTATGTGGGAGGAATAAGGCAGCCCTTGCAGGATGTTCTAAGCCTTCATTCATTGTGAACAGTGTTTGAAGCATACCAGCGTGCACTTGCCGTGGAAAGGCAGTAAAATAGGAAGCCAGTGGTCAGAATTGAAAGTAGTCAGCCAGTTCGACCTCAAGCATCTCTTCCTACATATCAGGCCTCGCAGGACAATCCTAACTCAAGCATTAAGTGCTTCAGATGTGGTGAATAGGGACATAGGGCGACTGATTACAGGAAGCTGGCTGGTCAGAAGAATAAAAATCTTCTGATTGAAGAGGATATGATCGATGATATCAAGGAGGTTGGAGAGCCTGTATATGACGAAGGTGAAGATGAGGATGTGCTGTATGGAGATGGACAGGAGACTCTAGTCATTCACAAGAGTCTGTTGACTCCCAAAGGCGATTCAGGGGACGATTGGTTGAGGACCAATGTTTTTCGCACAACCTGTACAGTTGCCGAAAAAGTTTGCAAGTTAATCATTGATAGTGGCAGTTGTGAGAGTGTGGTGTCTGAAGAGGCTATCCAGAAACTGCAGCTGAAGACAGATCGTAGAGAAATAGTATCTAGTGTCTTTTTCGATTGGAAAAAAATATTTTGATAATACTTGGTGTGATGTGGTATCTATGGATGCGTGTCATGTATTGTTGGGGTGACCTTGGCAGTATGATTTCAGCGTTATTCATGATGGAAGGAATAATACTTATTCCCTTAGCATCGAAGGGAAGAAAATTGTTTTGACGAAGAAACCACCACTGCCCCAGTAATTAATAACAACAACCTGCTTTCTATGTCTAGATTCTTAGTAGAGGTTGGGAGTGGAAAACTGATATATGCTCTACTGCCCCGTGAGAATAGTGAAGTGAAGGAAAACTCGAATTTACCAGCAGAAGTGCAGCAGTTGCTAATGGAGTTTTCTGACTTGATGCCAGATGATCTTCCTCTGAGGTTACCACCTATGAGGGATATTTAACATCAGATCGACCTTATTTCAGGGTCGAGTCTGTCAAACCGACCAGCATATCGTCTCAGTCCCAAGAAAGCTGAAGAGTTGCAGTGACAGGTTGTAGAATTATTGGAGAGGGGATACATTCGTGAGAGTATGAGTCCATGTGCAGTTCCTGCTCTACTAGTACCGAAGAAGGATGGGTCGTAGCGGATGTGTGTTGACAGCAGAGCAATTAACAGGATTACAGTGAAATACAGGTTTCCAATTCCTCGTCTAGATGACATGTTAGATCAGTTATCCGATTCTAACGTCTTCTAAAAAATTGACCTTAAAAGCGGATACCATCAAATCAGAATCAAACATGGAGATGAGTGGAAGACGGTGTTTTAGACACAGCATGGATTGAATGAGTGGATGGTCATGCCCTTTGGACTATCCAACGCGTCCAGTACTTTTATGACGTTTATACATCAGGTTTTACGACCTTTCATTGGGAAGTTTGTGGTAGTCTACTTTGACGACATACTTATTTATAGTCCGACGTGAGAGTCACATTTTGATCATCTTCATGCTATTTTTTATATAATGAGGATGGAAAATAAGTGTTTTTTCTTCACAACTTCTGTAACTTTTTTGGGTTTTGTTGTGTCTACTGATGGTGTTTATGTAGATCAATCCAAAATTGAGGCAGTCTTGAATTAGCCCAAGCCAAAAAGTTTGCACGATGTCCGAAGTTTCCATGGATTGGCATCCTTCTACCGTCGGTTCATCAGAAATTTCAGCACTCTGATTGCTCCTATCACAGAGTGCCTTAAAAGGCGTGATTTTCAGTGGACTGAGGAGGCAAAGGCCAACTTGCAATTGGTTAAGCAGAAGATGATAGAGGCCCCAGTCTTGGCACTCCCAGATTTTGAGATAGTGATCGAGGTAAATTGTGATGTGTTTGGAGTTGGCATTGGTGGTGTTCTGAGTCAAGAAGGGCGTCCAGTAGCATTTTTCAGTGAGAAGTTGTCAGGATCGAAAAAAATTTATTCGACCTATGATCTGGAGTTCTATGCCATAGTTCAGACTTTGAAGCATTGGCATCATTACCTGGTACAGAGGGAGTTCATCCTTGTTACTGATCATGAGGCCTTGATGTACATCAATGGTCAGCACATGCAAAGTGGGTGGCGTACTTGCAGGAGTTTACATTTACGCTAAAGCATCAAGCAAGGAATTTGAATCGAGTAGCAGATGCATTGAGCCGTCGCACATTACTCCTCACCACCATGTGGACCAGAGTTGTTGGCTTTGAGGCATTTCCTAATATGTATGCTGCAGATCCTTCCTTAGGGAAGATAATTCAGGAGGTAATTGATAATCATCGGCATGATTTTATTTTGCATAATGGTTATTTGTTTCGTGGATTGCAGTTGTGCATTCCAGATTGTTCACTAAGGCAGCAGATCATTAGTGAACTTCATAATGAGGGACATTTTGGGTGAGATAAGACATTGGCGTTGGTCTCTTCTAATCATTATTGGCCCAAATTGAGCAATGACGTAGTGCATTATGTGGAAGGGTGTTATATATGTCAGAAGTCCAAAGGAGCTCTTACTAATGCTGGACTGTACACGCCATTACCTGTACTTGAGGCTTCTTGGTTTGATGTGAGCATGGATTTTTATATTGGGCTTACCCCGTACACAACGGGCGATGGATTCCACTCTTGTTGTGGTTGACAATTTTCAAAGATGGCTCATTTTGTGGCTTGACGGAAGACAATGGATGCTACTCGGATTGCCCATATTTATTTCAAGGAAATTGTGTGTCTACATGGTGTCCCCCAATCAATCGCTTTTGACCGTGACTCCAAGTTCATGAGTCATTTCTGGAGGAGCTTGTGGGACAAACTAGGGACGAAGTTGAACTTTAGTAGCAACTACCATCCCCAAACAGATGGTCAGACAGAGGTGGTAAATCAGAGTTTGGGAAATCTTTTGAGAAGTTTAGTAGGGACTAAACCGAAATAGTGGGATTTGGCATTACCTCAGGTAGAATTTGCCTATAACCGATCGAAGAACAGAACCACAGGTCGTAAACCATCCCGAGTACTTGACTTAGCTCCTATCCCACATGTGGGGCGTTTCAATCACAAGGCTAATGAGATGGCAGAACATCTTTGGGGTATCCATGAATAGGTGAAGTTGTCCATTCAAGAGAGTAATTCCAAGCACAAGGCTCAGGCAGATAGTCATCGTCGTCAGGTACTCTTTGGTGTTGGTGATCTTGTGTGGGTAGTATTAACACGTGATCATTTTCCAGTTGGGGAGTATAATAAACTTAAGGAGCGAAAGATTGGACCGTGTGAAGTGCTCCAGAAGATCAATGATAACGCTTACAGGTTGCGTCTTCCCAGCCATTTGAAGACTTCCTATGTCTTTAATGTGAAACATCAAAGTCTATGTTTTGTGGAGTCTGATAAAGCTAATGTGAACTTGAGGGTGAGTTCTTTCCAACCCGAGGCGACTGATGCAGGAGGATTCGAGTCGAGTGACGTTGATCTGTCAAATAGTTTGTTGATGGTGCTGAGATACCATGAGATGGCGGATAGGCGCAAAGATGGAAAATAAATGCAATCTTTCCTTAATTGGGGTAATTTTGACACGTTTTTGGTAATTTGACCATAACTTTGGCTACGGTTATCAGAATCGCTATTATGACCCCAATCCATAAAGCTCTTTGGCGCGCACGTTGTGGCCACCCAGCTATGCTCGGTGGATGTTAATTTCGAACCCAAAATTCTCTATTTTCCTTTTCGAAATTCAATTTTTAGTTATTTTTTACTATTTATGGTAATATTTCATTTCCCTTTTTCTAGACGTTAGAGAATCCGGATTGACCAAAATTTTGACAACTTACTTCTTTTGTTTCATATTTTATTTTGGTGTGATCATTAGGATTTTGTTATTTTTGGTAATTTTTCGATAATTCCGTATTTTGTAGCTATTTAACCCGGCCTGTGGGTTAATTTTTGTCATTCTTGGTTATTAATAATATTGAGTGAAGTTTTCAGAGAATTCTCTCTATTTTTGGCGTTTCTTTCTTCTTCTTTCTTGCGAATCGTCTGTTGCAACTAGCTTATAGGATAATCGCTATTCTACCTGGCGTCAGAAACATAGCGACCGTTGAAGAGCATCAATTTATATAATTTATAGAGTACTTACCAAAGCAAATAATTTCAATTCTCACCATCAAAATCTAGTTAACTGAATTTGTGACTAGTTTGAATACTGAGGTTAGAGAAATCAATAGTATGTGATTAAATCTTTTGAATTTGTGACATGTGACCTATGTACTTTAACATATAATCTCTGACTTGATCCAATGACCAATGACCAAATCTCTTAGATCTATGACACATGATTTATGACCTGATCCAATTGCCTATGAACAAATTTCTTGGTTTGTGACCATTTCTCTTGTATCTGTGACTTACAACCTATGCACTTTAACATGTTCCCTAATACATGTGACCATGACTTGATCCAATAGAAGTGAACAAATCTCTTGGATTTGTAACCTGATCCAATGACATGTAACCAAATCTCTTGAATATGAAACCTGTACACTTTCATAGGTCATATATTTAGGATGTTTGGTCACACAAACTCAATTGATTGTGACTTACACACAGCCACCATCACCATCTGTGGACATTGATCTACCACAACCACTAACAACCTAAAAACCAAGTAAATTACCAACGCCAAAACTCTCCTCTTCAACCTCTACAAATCCATTACAAACATTAGCCCAAGCAACAACCAAATCAAACCAAACCAAAAACTGGCTTCAAAACCATAAGCAACGCAATGCCTCCATCTAGATTCCTGCTGCTCCAGCGACACCCATAGTCCTCAACTAGCGCCAACTGATTCTCCTCACCAAGATACCAATTTCATGGTCTTGATTCATCAAAATCGATCCCACACGTCGATGTCCAGAATCAAATAATTTCCCAACCACGAATGATTTCTGCGAGAACAAACAATAAATCAATTGATGACTAAATGCAGTCTAAATGATGAAAATCTACCCAACAACATCCAATTGAGATCCATAATCTTGGTGGGTAAACCATCAATTGAACCAATTAACCAGCTAGTTGATCCAATTTCTAGGACATGTTCTGAAATTTTTCGTTCGAGCATTCAGACTTCCTCTCAATCAATTGATGGCTCCACCGTGCTTTAATACAACAAATCCGCTTGGAAAAAACCAATGGAAGTCCAAAAGATGGCGTCGAAGAGTATGGCGGTAGAGAGATGTCGCCGATTAAATGGGGTAGAGAGTGAGAGTGAGAGACGAGTAGAGTAGATGGTGAGTTGGGTTGTTCTATGAAAAAGAGGGCTGCATAATAAATAAATCTAAATGGGCACAAATGAAATTAGAATGAATTGTAGGTACTAAACAACTCCTAATCACATTCCAACCAAGAGATTGAGAGAAGAGATAGAAGACGACATCACCTCTAAATGTTCTTTGTTCATCAATTTGTTGTTGTTCTTTTTGGGTACAATATGCTAGAGAGTAATGCTATTCATATCTATTGGTGTCAAATATTAGTTTAAGTGGTAATGATATGACATTAAATGATAGATTTATTTAAATACAAAGTCACATATTTCATTTAATTGAATATATCAAATGTGGTAATCTAGATTTGTGCTCTAATATCATTATTGCTTGATAGCATTATTCTATGTTGAATCAAGTTCTTGGATAAATGGTTCTTGAATCAAGTTCTTGGATAAATGTTTTAAAGCCAACTAAAAAACTCGGTAAAATCGCAATTAGGTCTTAGTTTTCAATTGAACCATCTGACTTTATGGTTTTTGAGCTAGTTTCTATACATGCGGGGTTCATGCATCAATCAAACTTGTTATCACGTCAATTTCCAAGTTTTTCTTGGCATTGCTAATTACAAGATTTGACTTTTTAAAATAAAAAGCACACGCGTAAAGAGTCTCTAAAAATTTTAGTTAATTTTTGAAGTTAAGCCAAACATGAACATATATTTTAAATTCAAGTTATGCTATTTATTTAACTGAGAATCATTTGCATGTAATGTGACATTAAATAATAAGATGAATAATATAAATCTCATATCTACACATTTTGATTTATCATTTTACTCCACATTACATGAGAATATTCCCTTGCCAACAAATAACTTTAAACCTCAGGCTCAGGACAATTAAATGGTGCAAATTTATGCGTGGAAAAACTAAACCAAGCAGAAATTCAGAAGTCCAAGTCCATGGAATTAATAATCTAGTTCTTATTACATCGTATACATTAATGGAAAAGAAATCTATTACGTCGAAATAAACATGTATATTACAAGTACTGAAAGTCATTGAAATTTTTTACTTTGAAGTTGATTATAGTATTTTAATTGGATTAATACTATTCATAGTCGCTCACTACGATAGTCGTCCTACATGAAAATCTATGAGACGAGTTTGTGATTTCATACATTACTATGTTAGTTTTTTTTTATTTTTTATTTTTTTATTTTTTTGGGGTCTTATACATTAAATTACTAACTGTCACATATATGCCACGTAAGATGACTATAACAGTGAGCGACTGCAAATAACATTATTTTTTTAATTGACTATATTATGAATATGGGTAGAAGTAAATTTGAGGGGTTAAAAGAAAGAACCGTATGCTCCCTTATTTATTATTATTTTTTTTTCCCTTAACGAGTTGATGGCTATTCTTCCATTCTTGATTTTGGACAACAAGATTGAGACCAATTCCTTATGCCGCCTCCATAGACGAGTTGCATTACCACATGGACTTGATGGGTCTTTCAATATATCAAGTAATGGGAATAGGTTTTTGAATTGTATCTTGTATCTTGTGTTTTAATAGACTTGTGCTCGAAGTGTTCTTTTGTTTGAAATTGTTGATAATTACCTCTTGTTATAAGACAAAATAAATAAATTTGAGGGGTTAAAAGTACGTGCTAAAGAAACTTAAATGAAATAGTAATAACAATAACAATAATATTAATAATAGTAATCTAATTTCTACAATTGAAAAGGGCTAAACACAAAGGACTCTACCATGTAGGTGAGGATGGGACCATAATGGCCAAAAGTCGTTTGAATATTCAATACCTTAACATGTAATATTCATTGCAATATTCTTAATTTCTATGTAGAATTTTCTATCAAGTCAAGTTCATGCCCAACCTCTAAAGAATGAGACAAAATAGATAACAATTTTTACAAATGGTACTTAACTTTTTCAATAATAGTCATTTAACTTTGAAAATTCATCTTGTTACGTTGCTATTTTAGTCTTGTTAGCATAAACTAACAAACAGATGGTGTGTACAATGGAAAGATGATTTGAAAACACTTGCAAGATTAAACAGATGGTTGATGAGGGCATTTGTGTCTAGAAGAAAGGGTTCAAATGAAGTGAAATTTGGAATTTAGGATTTAATCGCGTTGGAGTTTCACTTAGAAATTTATTACTTTAGGGTTTGCCATGTATTAATTTGCTTTAGCTATAGCGTAAATTTTTAATCAAATCGTATTTTTTGTCGTACACATGGTCTGTTTTGTTTTATGAAATGGATGCTGATACAGTGACTAACGAGATGAATTTACAAAATTAGATGACTTATAATGTAAAAATAAAAAGTTTACAGACCATTTGCAAACAAGTGTTTTAGTTGGGTGACCAGATAGGTTTTTAACTCATAAACACACAGTTGTTTCTATGAAAGAGTTATGTAATATTTACTTTATTCGTCTTATCATTTAATATCACTTTGCATGATGATCATCCTCAGGTCCGGTCCTGCCTAAAGGCAGATGAGGCCTGCGCCTCAGGCCCAAAATCTAAGGGGGCCTCATATTGCTGGCCCCCTTTCTTTTTTTTCTTTTTTTGTGTGGAAACAATGGCCCAAAATCTGAGGGGCCTCTTTTTTTAATTTTGGGATAATTAGGTACAGTACCCTAAAAAAAAAAAAATTTTGATTAATACCTTAAAACTGATTTAAACTACTATTATCATATTAATTACGTTCAAAACATTGACACCCACAACAAAAACCCAAATTAGAAGGGAGAAACCTTGCATCAGTAAACTCTCGAGAAACCTTCATTCCCGACTCCGACTTGGACTCCAGTATTCTCGTAGAGAGAAAACCTTACCCACCCATTTAATGTTGTTGCATCTTTGTAGTTTTAACGAGAGTTTCCCTTGGGACGATTGGGTGATTTTGGGGCAAATTTTGAGCGAAAAGCTTTTTTTGCTCTGTAAAAGCTTGAATTTGGCAAATCTTTATCAATATTTGGTCGATTTTATCAATGGTCAAAGTAGGTAAATGAATATCATGAATCAAAGTCATCAAAGAGAAATTCTGGGAGTATAGAAGGAAATTCAAACTTGAAGAATTACACTCGTGAATTTGAAGGTAATTTTGAATGCACTTTATTTTTGAGGTTGAACTTTGAAATTTAGTAGTTTTTTGGTTTACATTAAAAAAATTGTCATTAAATTTTGGATTAGCTCCAGAATTAAATGGTGCCTTTCCCTTTGATTTTCTACGATACTATCAAGGTGTTTGACAAAATGTCTCAATTGAAATTTACATTTACATTTAAAGACATGATATAAACATCATATGGCTTTTGTATAAATTGTGGAAGCATTTTTATGAAGTTTATTGTCCAATTCGGCAAATTTGAACGACATCCAGTTATGTAAATATGAAGAAAGAGTAAATAGTAAATCCTATTGAAAAATGAACATCAAATAGGGGCTAAATTACTTTGAACAAAGTAAATAATAAATACTCATGAAAAATGGGAG